CCCCCAGAAAAAAAATTTCTGGGTACGCCACTGGTATGTGATCATAGCGTTTTAGAGGTAAAAATCTCGAAGCAAAGGAAGAGTCTCATCCAGTGCTATCCTTCTTCCCGATTTTCAGCCAAGTTGGTGGCATCCTAGAATTTCCTGAGTTTTTTGTGAAATCATCACACACTCGTCCAGGATTACTACAGTTGAAAAGGCGAATTGTCGAATCCTAGTCTGCTGTCGAAAAAAAGATTCTCAGTCATTCCTAGTCTCACATCTTCCAGTTCTTTGTTCAAAAGCTGTGGGTGAAGGCGGTTATCTGAGTTGCGGCCTAGAGGGTAAGGGGATAGGAAACACCTATTCTTACAATCGTATGCATGATGCAATCGCAAGGAATCACAAGCAATGAGAAGCAAACGAACAGCATAATTTATTGTTACTGCTGATTAGTTTGGGTGAATAAAAAGGAAAACAAATGAGAATTCCAATAGAAGAGGTGTTCACTTGAGAAAGGCAAATGTAACTCTGCTGAACAACAAATCCGTACGTTCTAACTTTATAATAACACTATTTCCATAGCAGTATCCTAATGTAATCTAAAAGCTTTCTCAATAATGATAGACTTCCGCAGATTGTAAAGCTGTGCGTGGAATACAAGGATATGAATACTCAAGTGACAATATGATTATAAGCAATGAGTCTATGCAGCTTGACAAAATCACATCTACAGTAATGGTAGGAATTGTGACTTATGTCTTAGCAGCTCCTGCAGAAAAAACAGCAAATAGAATGCCGGCTCGAATGAGCCGTATAGCCTAACATTAAAGCTAGCAGTACACTCGAAAGGTATTTACATGGCTGTTTGGAAAGAGATACTGTGCCTACAGATTAATTTTTTGACAACTGATAAACTGGTCAAATTTTTCGTACATGGTTGACAAGCTCAGCGAGGCACTGTGACTGTGCATCAGAGATCGGCAGCAGCGCCATATCTGGAGTGGCGCGAATATATGTGTTTATCCTATCGGCATGCTCAGCGACAAATAGCACGTCTCGAAGCAAAGCCGGCTGTTGTGGTTTCAATGATGGTGCTGTGAGAGATAATTCATCCATCAGGTTAGGTCGATCTTCGAAATATCCAAAAACGCTGTGGCAAATCGTCAGCAACGGAATCAACTCTTCCTAAAATAATTTTAGTTAACTGCAAATTGTCCTTACAACCAACAATTCAAGCAAGGGCACTTCAGCCAAGGATGTCGCAAAGATATTGAACGCTCATGAAACTGAGGGCAAAACTGGGCCTCTGCAAATCAATCGCTTTCTTAGTTGGAGTCATAGTTGACATTAAAACTCTACAACATCAAAGCTTTACTTTTATTTTTCTCTCCTTTCGATTATGATTGTCCGGCTATAAACTAACTTCGAAACACTAAAGAGGAAAATCAAATGAGACGACCCGAATATTGCAACAGTCCGAAGCTGCGATAAGAAATAGTGGACTGAAAGGGTCATATCTTTAGAAACTTTAGAGGGAAATTAACGCATGATAGTCGAATGGTAAACACGTTGTTAGTGTAAGGTAAAGTCCTATGTAATAAAGTACAGAAAAAAAGCTCCATGTCAACTTTTTTTCAATCATCAAGTCTCTGCCAAACCTCATTGTATAGATTGCTTCAAAGCACTAGATGCTTCCTACTACGCATTTGCAAACCAGATTGAATACAATTGCGGTTCTGAAACTAAACCAACTAATTGGTGGGTCTGAGACGGAAAATAATATAAATAGGAGTTCATGTGGCAATCAACCCCAGCTGCAGAAGAAAACAATCTGCTTTTCGACTCCAACAAGGCAAACAAAAAGAAAGTATGACTACGCTCAGTATGCCTGCCCAACGCTGTAGCAAGACTCTAGATAGTTCTTTTACCTCCACTCGCGTACCAAAACTAATGGGCTCATTTCAAAAGGCATTCAGTTGCATAACTCACATCCAAGTGGAATGATTGCAAGTCTTTTGGAAGTGCCCGCCTATCGTTCGACCTGCGTCAACTACGAAAAAGCATTCGATTGCCAAAACAGCACC